AAGGGATATTGCATGGCTGACATGACTTAACTTTAATGTTCGCAAAACATGTCTTAAACTTAAAAAACACTTAACTTTAATGTTTGCAAAACAGCTGCATAGATTTTAATATCGGCAGCAAACAGACTGCATGAGCCTCAGGCATGCAAAAATGCTGCACGAATGTTCTGCTCCAAGTCGGCTTTCACTCACTCCTGTAAACAATAAAGTAGGCTACATAAGGAGTAAAAGCGGTGAGAATACGATTATTCTTTTCAGGGTGGTGCTTGACCGCCAAGAGCCTAAGCTCCTCACTAAACTTTTCAATTGATCGTTATTGGGGGAATACCTACGCTACTCATCAGTACCCTGTTCCTGATCCTGCCATCTTTCACCTCTTGGATGGCGTTGTTGCGCATATCGGGTCCAATGCTGCTGGTGTACCCCTACTGCATCCTACGGCTGACTGCGGCCTGGTGCATCTCTCCAGTGGGAAAAGTGTCCAATCTCACTAACTGGGACTGTATGGGCTACATTAACGCCTTCGAGCCCCGTACTCCTCCCCCCCCTCACCTCAACGGGCCACTGGGGGTTATCTCATTCCCCACCAAGCGGAGCAAACTTGCCTCCCTGTGGCTTCTGAGTGCAAATGGCGCGGATGACTCCCACGAGGCCTGATTAAAATGGCCAACAGCGTTGCGGCTGCAAAGTCTGCATCACTGAATCTGGCGCAAAGCTGGTAAGAGCAGTTCAATTAAATGTTTGAGGCCATCTGTCGGCAGTTCTGGCAGGACTGCTGACAGAAGCAATCCAAGCTGTCAGCTATTGGGGTAAAGCCAGTTCGTAGAGCTCCTGTGTGGAGACCTCCTTCCAGACGGGGACTCCAACAGCTTCACCACGCCGCGTGTAGCTCAACTTCTCCTGAAGATCAAAGCTGCCCAAATCCTCAAGGATTTGCCTGTTTTACAGAAGTGAAGCCCATGGTTGCTGGAGCTAGATAGCTGCGGCAAGATAAGGAACCCTCAAAGGTTCTGATCGTCATGTCCACCTGCATGGACTCTGCCTGTCTGCTAAGGGCATTGGATGAGAGGGAGCTAGTTTTGGGGTTACATGTTCCTCCTGTGCACCTCACAGTTCTCAGCCTATCTTTTTGCTTTACTCTCCCCCTCCTCCCTCAAACAATTCTGTCGCCTACATTCCTTCATGTTTATTATATAGAAAAGTGCAGTAAATTTGAAATTTATTGTGCTAGCTGATCTTGACATTATTGAACATGTATCTGTTTAAATGGCCATATACACTTGATTGTCTCACTTTGCACTACAAAAAAATAAGAAATTATTAAAGGTACACTATAGTCACCAGAACAACTACAACTCTGGTGAGTATAGTCAGTACCTGCAGCCTTTTTGTTGTAAACACTGTCTTTTCAGTGAAAAGGCAGTGTTTACATTACAGCCTAGGGACACCTCCAATGGCCACTCCTCAGATGGCTACTAGAGGTGTTTCCTGGGGACTGACATTCAGTATCTCCGCCCTCTGCATGGAGACACTGAACCTTCCTCATAGAGATGAATTGATTCAATGCATCTCTATGAGGAGATGCTGATTGGTCAGGGTGGCCTTTGACTCTGCAACCAAACCCACCTCCTTGGCAATCTCAGCCAATCCAATGCTTTCCTATAAGAAAGCATTGTGTTTGGCTCAGGTCATCACTTGATGTCAGCCAAGCAGGAAGATCAGAGGCAGAGCCAGTATCAGCAGACTGGAATAAAGCTAAGTTTTAAGTATTTTTAAGAGAACAAGGGAGGGCAGGGGGGGCCAGATAGTGTTTTTAACACTATACGGTCAGGAATACATGTTTGTGTTCCTGACCCTATAGTGTTCCTTTAATTTCAGCACATCTACACTAATAACATGTTTCATTCTAATGAGCATTAATCATTGGTACTGCTTTACTGAATGAGCCTCTCATACTGGTTTGTGTTTTAATTCTTATTCCTTAAAACACTGTTTAGCAGCTTAACACCCAGCCACAGTTATACTTATCAGATTGTATGAGTGAAGCTGTTGAACAAACTGATAACAGTTATATAGGTGTCAGGTATAGCATGGCATGTAATTCATCGCCGGAACCCACTTCCGGGTTCACGGCGCTCAGCCCCGCCCCTTTCTCTGACGCGGTCCCTCCACGATACTTAGGAGGACCGCGCCAGATTCAAAGGGCTGGATTATTCGCACAGGTGCTGCATGAAGATCAGCTGCTCTACTTCTGATCCTACCTGCTCCACTTCTATACCTCGGCTAGTAAACGGATTTCTACCTTCTCCACTTCTCGACCTCGGCTTGTAAACGGATTTCTACCTTCTCCACTCCTAGACCTCGGCTTGTAACTCTGAATTCTACCTTCTCCACTCCCAGACCTCGGCTTGTTAAAACGGACTTCCCCACTCTCCACTCCTAGTTCTCAGCTTGTTGAAACGGACTTCTAAATTCTCCTTCATTGGGTGAATTAACCCTTCCAGTGCCAGAACTGCCTTTAAGTTAAGTAATACTTTTACCAAACAAGTCAATTACTATTATTTATATTACACAGTATCTAAAACTCACTAAAGTGTCACTTTGTCTAATTATTCCTCTTACTCATAAGGGATTGCTACAAAGCCTAATTTTACCTACATGGATATTTAAAGGTACAGTGACCATAGTTTCATACCAATATAAAAGGAGGTGAACCTTATTGTTGTTGCAACCAAGAAATGCTGCAGTTGAGTTCCAATTAAAGAAATATTACAAAATAAGTATTACAATAGGCTGCAATCAGTTTAGTGATAGGCTTGGTTACTTACATGTGTGTGAATGGGGCTGTACACCAAATTTACCCAGGTTGCCAAGATTGCACGCATGTGCCGGTAGCTTAGGGTTTCCTTAAAGGAACACATCACTGCTCTAATAAATAGTACATAGTACAGTTTAGTACAGTTTAGTACATATACCTAAAAAAAACATGCAAACATGTAATTATGTATTTTTTCATTGATGGCTCATTAAATCAACTTGCATAAACTTCCTTTTTTTCCTTAGTCAGGATTTTTTGTGGCTGTCCGATCAAAGACTTTCCAGTGCAGCTCATTAAAAAATCTTTGCAAAGCATTGCTGCAATGCTTTCCTATGGGGACTTTACTGATTCTGGATGTCCTCATGCAATGTAAATAGGTTCACATGTGTTCTCATTGGTTCACGTCATCTCTGCGACTCCAAACAGCATTGGGTCGCCTATATAACGAAGTCCCTTTAAGGGCATGACGTCATGATTTTATTTAAGGATGCCCCCTTAGAGAGGGGAGCGTCCTAACTTCTTTGAAGGGGCCTGCAATTCGGCACACAAAGCAGCAGAGGAAGCCATTTGTGGGACCAAAAGGAGGTAAATGATTTCTATCCAGGCTGCATAGCCACGTGGAGCATTCGGGCCTGAGGAGGGGAGCGACTCGGGCAGCAGGTGCAGGTAAGTCTACAACAAACCTATAATGCAAGGGTTTGCACCTCAGTGCTGCAGTATCCCTGGATAAGATGTATCTTCTCATTGTTTCTATATTGATTAAATATTAATTAGTTCCTTTATTTGTTTTGATGCCTCAGTTGCACTCATATTGTTCTTTCAAGACCATTCTAACACTTTACTGAATACCAATTAAGGTCCAATGAATGGTCTGTGTAAACATAAGGGCAGGTCTCATGGATTTGATGTTTGCGTCAGTCTTGAACCTCAGTGTTTGTCCCACAGAAAGGTAAGAACTACAGCACTTTTATCATGCTCAGTCGACTCTGCGTGCTTAAAATAGTGTGATGCCAACTGGGAGACTCGTGAATGACAATCATAGTTACATAGTAATCTAGAATGAAAAAAGACTCAGGTCCATCGAGTTCAAACTTAAAGCGGCACTGTCATTCCGAACTTACCTTTCCTCAATATCTTCCTCTTCTCCCCCTCTCTCAGGATCTGTTCTTGTTTTCTTCCTGTCTTCTTTAGTTTTCTTTAAAATCATAAGACAAAGTAGGAACTCTTTGCCTTATGGAGGTTTCCTCCGCTTGACCAACTCTGACCAGCGGAGGAGCAATGTGTGCTTCATTTCCGCTGGTCAGAGCAATTTTCCCATAATTCTTACCTTTCCTCTGTGATCTCGCAATGCTTCCTGTCATTTTAGACGAAACTGACGAATTGTGTTCTAACTGAATGAGAACAGTATGTTCGTTTGTTTTAGAACTCAATTCGGCACTTTGTTCGGATCGCAATTTAATTCGAATGAATGAAACTCTGATCCTATTCGTGCTGTGGCTGCATCTTGCAGCCGCTTAGTAGATAACTCCCTAATTCCCACGGTATCAGGGAGCTATCTACCAAAAGGCTGAAAGACCTAAATTGGTCTTTCAGCCACATTTACTAATACTAAGTAAAAATTAGTTAGTATTAGTAAATGCTGCCCCTACTCGCTATACCGCGAGTAGGGGCATGTCTAGTAAACAGTGAGCAGCCTGTGGCTGCTCACTGTAAAAAAATAAAAACCTATTGGCCCCCACCCCTAAACGACGGGTGGGGCCCTAAAGTAAAATAAGGGGGGAGACCTATTGTGCCCCCTCCCCAGCCCCCACCCCTGCGCGGTGGGTGGGGGTCATAATGATAATGAGGGGGGGACCTACTGCCCTCCCCCGCCAGGCCCCCACCCCTGGGCGGCAGGTGGGGGCCATAATGATAATGAGGGGGGGACCTACTGTCCTCCCCCCCCCCGGCCCTCACCCCTGGGTGGCAGGTGGGGGCCCTAAGTCAAATCCCCCCCCCATCAAAGGTGACTAGGGGTCACCTTTGACTTAGGGCCCCCACCCGCCGCTCAGGAGTGGGGGCCAGGGGGGGAGGACAGTAGGTCCCCCCCATTATCATTATGGCCCCCACCCACCACCCAGGGGTGGGGTCCTGGGGGGGAGGACAGTAGGTCCCTCCCCCCTCATTATCATTATGGCCCCCACCCGCCGCTCAGGGGTGGGGGCCGGATAGTAGGTTTTTTCTTTTTCTTTTTACAGTGAGCAGCCACAGGCTGCTCACTGTTTAGTAGACATGCCCCTACTCACGGTATAACAAGTAGGGGCATTGGGGAGATTTTAATCTCCCTTATGCTATTATGGGGGTCATATTGACCCCCATAGAGTGAGGGGGGACCTGGGGGGCTTATGAAGTGGTGGGGAGCACTGCTCCCTGCCGCTTCTATCTTTACATATTACAAGGAGAGAGCTGCGTGCCGGTAGCTCCCTCCTTGTAATAAACTGAACGAACAAACGAACAGTGATATTCAGTGTTTGTTTGTTCGTCTGACATTTCTGTTCATTCATTTGTCTGTCTGATGAATGAATGAATAAATGAAATTCCCGTTCGCATGTCCAGGTGTTTAACTGGGCATGTGCGGGAATCTCACATCGCTATCTAGTGTGGGCAGATGACGTGTCCCACAGGGACTTCATCTACCCACACAAAGAGGGTGGCGCCCTGAATAAAGTTCGGGGCAGAAAATAAGGAATAAAAAATAGGTAATCTGGGGATCTTGAAGGCAAATTTGGGTGACTAGGGGGTCAATTAGAGATAGTGGAGGCATGACAGTGCCGCTTTAAACTTGAGCTTCCATCCACTTGCTGGTCATTTAAAGTGTCTCTGTCGTAAGAAATAGTCTATGCATCATCATATAGACTGGTAAAACTGTCTAAACGTCAATCTGTTTAGCAGGTTTTTACAAAATTAAACAAACAAAAAGATTTTTGGGCACAGATCATTATAGGAGCCTTCAAAGAGCATTTTCTGCTTTCTGCACAAATCACTTAATTTAATTGGTTGCTGAAATCACGTCCCCCTACGGGCTCGTATTTTATCAGTAACTGTGACTGTGCAGAAAGGTACAAACCAGATGTCTGTAAAGTATCCTGCAGGCGTCTACAGGTTTTCTCGCACGTACACAATAAGTTGTCATAGGATTCTGTTTGGTATCATGCAAGAAGATGCATGGTCTCATCAGCCACTGCTTGCAACAGCTGTTGTGAAATGGCAGGGTTGGGAGAGAGACAGATTTTCTGACTGCTTTGGAATATCTAAGAATTTCAAAGAATTTTCATAAAATGCATGAGCATGCAAGCTTACTCATCCCTCCTATGTTACACTTGTCTTAAAGTGATACTAAAGGCATCAAAACAACTTTTGCTTAATGAAGCGGTTTTGGTGTATAGATCATGCCCCTGCAGTCTCACTGCTCAATTCTCTGCCATAGGAGTAAAATCACTTTTGGTTCTGTTCATGAAGCCCTAGCCATACCTCCCATGGCTGTGACTCACATACTGCATGAAAAGAACAATTATTTATTTATCAATCAGATGTTACCTTGCTTTAGAAGTTCTTATGTTCTGCTCTGTAAATTGAACTTTAATCACACACAGGTGGCTCCTTGCAGCATCTAGGCGGCTATTAACAGAGAAGAAATTCCAGATTAAACAGGCTGTGCAATACATGAACCTAAAATATCTAGGTAATTTTTCAGGAAGTGTCTAGGAAGGCTGTACAAGTCACATGCAGGGAGGTGTGACTAGGGTTCATGTGATTTAACTCCTAAATGGCAGATAAATGATCAGTAACACTGCTGAGCTATACACCAAAACTTCTTCATTAAGATAAAGTTGTTTAGGTGACTATAGTTTCCCTTTAAGAAAAATAGCACAATCTATGATTTAATTAAATGAACACTAAAGGGTAGGGGACCCAAATGTGTATTCCTGACCCTATGGTGTTAAAACCACCATTTAGGTGGATACCCCCCTCCCTTAGCCCTTTTAGAAAGGGTTAAAATGTACCTTATTTTCAGTCTGCTGGCACTGGCCCACCCCCAATTCACCTTTTTGGCTGATATCATCAGAATTGATCATCTCAGCCAATCCAGTGCTTTGATTGGAAAGCATAGGATTGGCTGAGATCGTCAAGGAGGTGGGGCCAGGCCTGGCTTGTCAACATCTCCTCACAGAGATGCATTGAATCAATGCATCTCTTTGGTAAAAGTTTAGTGTCTCTATGCAGAGACTGGAGATGCTGAATGCTCTGGTGACTATAGCGTCCCTATAACTCTAAGTTTGTAACTTCAGCTTAAAAGGTTTGACAGTTGCCCTTTGTTTAACTGAGCCATCTTGGCTTAAGAGCATGTCTATAAGGAAAGCTCCTAGTACCATAACCAGTACAGCTTATTGTAGCAATTATGTCTCAAGGAGTCTTTTACAGTATTTTCTTTGAGTGATCTGACAAAAAACTAGGCCTTTCTTGCACCCAAATCCCACACTTCTGTAGCTGCAAAGACTAATTTTTCATCCGATTTCTTTGAATTTCAATGGCAGTGATACACAGTGGGGTCTGAGTGTTGTTTGTGCTTTTATTTAAACTTCTTATCACAGTGACAAAAGTGGGCAGGGCTTTGGGCGCCAGAAAAGCCCTGATTTTGTGACATTACTCCAAAAAGCTGGACAAACAAAATAGAGGGACTGCACCCAGGCCGGTCGCGACAAGGCAAGCAAACCAAGCAATTGCTTGGGGCCCCGAGTTGGCCTGGGGCCCCAAGACAACGACCTTTTTTTAAAAAGTGTGTGTGTGTGTTACTGTGAGTGTGTGTGTGTGTTACTGTGAGTGTGTGTGTGTGTTGCTGTGAGTGTGTGTGTGTGTCTGTTAGTGTGTGTGTGTGTCTGTTAGTGAATGAGTGTGTCAGTGAGTGTGTTTGTCTGTTAGTGTGTGCGTGTCTGTTAGTGTGTTTTAAGTATGTTGGATTTAGTTATTGTGCGCTTTTTTAATGTATATTTGATTTTATGGTACAGTGGTGTTTTTTGCAAATGTTCAATTGTTGAAAATGTTCAAATGTTACGCACATTATATGAAACAGCAGTATTTGCACTGTAAACCTTTTTTATTTATAAAAAGTGTGGGTGAACTTAAACTGTATGGCTATGCTGTGGTTCCTGTAGGCCGTGTGTGTGTGGTGGGGGTGGCGGGGGGATTGAGGGCCTCCATGTCCATTTTGCTTGGGGCCCCCAAATTCCTTCAAACGGCCCTGACTGCACCCAAAGACTACTGGCTACACTACTAAGCTGTAGTGACATTGGTGCTTAGATTGTTCATTTAAGAAATGCTTAAGTGACATAAATTGTCAATTAATTTATTTCAGTCAAATTACTCTGAAGAGCTGGCAATACATCTTATCCATAAATTTAAGAATAACAGAAGAAAAATTACTGATATAATTTTGTTCAGCAGCCCAACAACCAAATTCAATTTCTCGTTTCTCCGGTAAAAATCAGATAAAAGAAGAGGTTAGGTGTAGTGCCTTGACTGTCTTTTTAAGAACTTATGTAACAAAAACAGAAACAAAAAAATAGAGTGCTAACAGTGGAGTTTTATTAATCATGTTTTATTGATAAAAGATACTTACTGAAGCGGCCGCCACCACTTAGTGCCATACCCACTGGATTTCACATGTTGTGCTTTGTATTTTGTGTTCCCAATGTTTATTCCCACGATTTACCCTTGTGTTTCTATCTGTAACTGTGTTGAATTCATGTGTTTTGCCTGCTTGTCGTTCGGGAGAGCTCAGACGAACGGGGACCACCCCGACACCTCATTTAGAATGTAAGTAACAAGGTGTGAAAACCGCAGACCGCATGGGGTGGCCGCCGGTTCAAATGAATACCCACCAGGAACAGCATTCGGATCCCAAACCAGCATACACACCCTGTCTCTGGTCCCCGTGTCGGGGATTGTCCTACCTGCTGCCAATGGAGCTATAATCACTGTTTACCTCCCTACCTGGGAGCTACGAGGCAAGCATTCTCTCTGGTGGACACCTGCATGGGGATATGCAAAGGAGAGAGGGAAGCTCGCCAGCAGGGAATCTTTGGAGCTGTGAGTTGATCTCACGGCCGCAGAGTCCTGCTGGCCCCATGGAAGTGTGGACCAATGGGAGAGGGCGCACCCATTAAAACTGGGTTAGCACTATTCTTCTGACTGGTCGGCACAAACACTGGCAGGATCGCCCTTTCAAACAGGGTTTCGCGACATTTCTCCTGATTGGGCGGCGAAACTCCTCGCCTCCCCCGAGCGCTGATTGGCGCGATTTGGTTCGCACCATTTCAGCTGATTGATTGTTGCTTGGTTTAGTTGTGAAGTTTGAATTCACCGGACTAAACCAAGCAACTCCATGGAACTAATTTCGGGGATGTACAGAGCCTTGTGCCCCAGACACTGATATCTTGGGCTCTGTACATCCGATAGCCCACTATTTACAGGGATCCCAGATGGGACCCGGGGCTATCTAGTAATATAGGTTTTATCCATGTGACCCTTTCCTTTCCCGGGGAACCAAGCCCCAAAGTTTACCCCCCTTTATGTAATTAGTTTAAATGTATGTCCCTGTGTACTGTTGGTATCTCCCAGAGCGGGAGATGATGATATGTAACCCAACCCCCTCCTGCTTGGCATTGTGCTGTATTGAATGGAGACGCCCTGTGGGGGTCTGTGCATAAAAGAAGCCTGTTTTCCAATAAAGATTTTCAGTCAGTGTTTTAACCTCCAGAACTGTGTATCGTCTGGGTACTGGAGGGAAGAAAGATTTAACTCCTGTGTCTGCTGTTCCAGCTTCCAGAGAGATGCAATGGGGAAAGTCCTTGTAAGGACTAAGAGAGCTAGTTCCCCATCCGTTTCCCCTGGTACAGCTAGGAAACAAATCCTCTGGCTGAGATACCCAGCCGGGGTACTGGGAGTTCTGCACATGGTAAAGCGTGTTAGTGTATTAGAGGTATTGCTTTTTTCTTACCTGTTTATTATATTTTCGATTGTTTAATTATCAATAAAGAACTTTTTTATAACATGGAGTTTATTATTAACATTTCCCCCTCCTTTTTAAACAATATAGTTCCTACCCAGGGCCAGATTAAGAGCCCAGTGGACCTGGTGCTAACAATTATGACGGGCCTAATTACAGAATCATATCGACCAAAAACCGTAAAATACTCCCAAGCGTCATGTATCTGATGGAGATGGTGCTGGAGAGAAAGAAAACAGCAGCTATAAGAAAACACATACCCTAGGCTAATCGCTCCTAATTTATGTTTTCATCTTTCAAGAAAACCCATAACCCCTAACAGCAGTGTCCAGTCAAGCAGGAAGTCAATGGGCACGGTAAAAGGGTGTGCCACTGACACAAATCACGTAACCTGCCAAAAGGGGCGAACATGCCCAAAAAGAGGATATGTCTGCCCAAAGAATTAGAAGGCCAGCCTGGTATGAATGCATGTCAGACTGTCTGCCAATCATGCAGCTGGCCAACTAAGGGCATACTATGCAGACAGCACCCTGAGCGTGGCATAAATGCATCTAATGATGCGCTCGCTCAACGCTTTCTAAGGACTGTCCCCTAGCACTCGCTGGTCCACTTGTCTCCTTACCTTCTTACTAGCAGGCAGAAGCTCCTGGTATATAGTCTGGGACAGAGAAAAGCTGTATGTAGTGAGTGTAGAAGCACATTGTTAGAGAGACCAAAGTCAGCATTACCTTAACCCCTTAAGGACACATGACATATGTGACATGTCATGATTCCCTTTTATTCCAGAAGATTGGTCCTTAAGGGGTTAAAGGATCACTATAGGGTCAGGAACACAAACATGAATTCACCACCATCAAGCCCCCCTGGGCCCCTCATGCCTCCATAAATATAGAAAAATCTAACTGTATTCAAGCCTGAAGCTGTAACTCTGCATGCTGTTAGACTCAGAAAAACAAGCAATCTGCTGACATCATTAGAAGTGGTTGCCTAATCCAATCACAGTGCTTACCCATAGGATTGGCTGAGACTGACAAAGAGGCAGATCAGGGGCAGAGCGAGCATGATTCAAACACAGCCCTGGCCAATCAGCATCTCCTCATAGAGATGAATTGAATCAATGAATCTCTATGAGAAAAGTTCAGTGTCTGCATGCAGAGGGAGGGGACGCTGAATGTTTGGATGCATTTTAGGCAGCCATGACCCAGGAAGGATCTCTAACAGCTATCTAAGGAGTGGCCAGTGAAGTTATCACTAGGCTGTAATGTAAAGACTGCATTTTCTCTGAAATTACAGTGTTTACAGCAAAAAGCCAAACGGTAATGATTCTACTCACCAGAACAAATTCAATAAGCTGTAGTTGTTCTGGTGACTCTAGTGTCCCTTTAACTATATTCATTGTCAGCCAGTCCACACAAGTTTTGTTCCCATACATCCCTCTTAAGTTTCCATACTTAAGTAAGGGTATGTGAAAAGTAGTTAGGGTTGCCACCTTTCTTGGAAAAACATACCGGCCTTGCTAATTTCCATAATTAAATATGTATGGGTGACATCACATGATGTAAATCACAAGGAGTGACATAAGAAAAAATGCTGTAAAATCACCAAAAAACTACTTAGTTTGATTCTGCTGTATAGATGGATTCCTCCCAGTGCCCCATGTCTCCCAGTGCCCCCATGTGTCGATTACTCCAGGTCTCAGTGTTCCTATGTATCAGTGTCTCAGTACCCCATGTCTCCCAGTGTCCCCTAGTGTCGTGTCCCCAGGTCTCCCAATGATCCTATGTATCACAGTGTCTCAATGCCCCATATCTCCCTGTGTCCCCATGTATCCCAGGGTCCCCATGTCACTAGGAAGACGGGAAGACCTGGGGACACGGGGAGACCTAGGGACACAGAGACACCAGTGACACTGGGAGACTAGGGGACTCTGGCTGGGACGCATGGGGACACTGGGAAAATAGGGGACACTTGAAGACATGGGGACACAGACACCAGGGACACAGACACTAGAGACACTGGCTGGGGGACATGGGGACATTGAGACATGGGGGCACTGGGAGACATGGGGACAAGGAGACACCAGAGCCACAGACACTAGGGACACTAGCTTGGAGACATGGGGACATTGAGGCACTGGGAGACATGGAGGCACTAGGAGACATGGATACAGTGACACACTGGAAGACTGGGGGCACTGGGAGACTAGGGGGCACTGAGACACCAGGGACACTGGCTGGGAGACATGGGGACACTGGGAGACTGTGTCTGTGTCATAATGTCTCCCAATGTCCCTTAGTGTCTCAGTGTCCCCATGTCTCCTTGCAGCCTTTCCCCCCCCATCCCTTACTTCACTGAGCTGTAGGCTGTCTCTGCAGGGTGGGAGTTGCTGTCTGGACTCTCTGTAGCTGTACCCCTTCAGATCAGTGAGTATAGATAGGCAGGGAGGGATATGCTGGAACTTCCTATCCCTGCCTGTCTCCACACACAGTGACCCCTACTGGCCAGTGCTGGTATTGCATAGTAATCTCTTGTTTATACTGAGAAAAATACCAGCATTTGTATTGCCAATATCACTGTAATATTTGCACCAGCCAGGCAGCCTCAAATACTGGATGTGCCAATAAAATTAAAAGCCAGGTGGAATCCCTAAGAGTAGTGTGTGAAAAAAAAAAAATGTAAAAAAAAAAAATTTTTCTTTTTTTTTTTATAAATCAATGGGCCTGGGCCTGGAGCTGCAGCTCCATCAGCCCCTATGTTAATCCGGCCCTGTTCCTACCTACACATTACCTCCTATTCAAGAAGCATCTTTGCCTGTGTAACCAAAAATCCTTGCACCGGCCCTGTTTACATGTATCAACAAATGTAATTTAACAAAATGGACACATTGCGCCTGGACTTGAGAAATACACAGATTTTTCTCAGTTTGAACATTTCTATTCAGATCCAAATAGGTTTAGCATACCTCAACCAAAATAAACTAGTATTCACTGGCCTTTAAGATGAGGTTCTTCATTAATGATCATGGTAAAGGTCAAAAATGTATTTACGAAAGTGAGAATTCAAGGTGAGTTGAAAGTGAATTTCAAATTTAAGGACAGCATTGCTGACTTAGAGAATTTTTTTCATTTCAGCTATTTTGACTTTAATTTGAAATGATTTATTTATTTATAAAATATTTTACCAGGAAAGATACATTGAGATTTCTCTTGTTTTCAAGTATGTCCTGGGTCCACAAAACATTGCATTGATACAAGGGTACAATAAAATACAAAAACAATATTAATACACACTATATCCAAATTTAACATAGAACAGGTGGGAAATATATAATCAACCATAACACGTACATACTGTTTTGGCTTGGGGAAGATTTGAAAGTGTGCGGTAGGTCGTTCCATAATTGTGGTGCTCTGTAGGAAAAAGAAGGATCGGTCTGCTTTCTTTTTATATTGAGGTAGACTAAATAAAGTGCTGTTACTGGATCGGAGGTTATAGGAGGTGGGAACAGCTGGGGAGAGCATTCTGCTCAGGTAGGGTGGGAGCTTCCCAGAAAAGCTCTTAAACACAAGGCTGGAAAGGTGAAGGGTACGTCTGGATTCCAGCGACTTTGACTTTGAATTCTCACTTTACTAAATAAACCCTTGTAGTGTTTCCATCTCACCTATTTATATAGGAGGTGAACCATTGGAGTAAATACAAATTACTGGTTCTTCATCAGGGTATTGTAAGGGACAATTTAAGCAATCAGTACCACCACTCATTATAGTACTTATGGTGCATAATGGAAAAAAATGTTCTGCATTATCCTAGGATCTGAATAACCAAGTTTTTAGCACTGAGGGAGCCCCAGATTTTGTTAAATTGCTTGAGAAATGTACACAGAAAGTCAGCCATGGCATTCAAAGACTAAATGTACTATAAGAACTATTATGAGCAGCAGTGGTTATGGTGTTAATAGTATCCCTTTAAATATTTACATGCAGAGTAATGGGTCCATTGAGGCCTTCCAAGGGTCGCTATTTAGGAGGGACAGCCCCAATTTTGGGTCCAAATCCCTCTGTCCCTCTTTTTTTACCTTAATGTCTCTCTCTTTTCTAAGAGCTCCATATTGTTGGTGTGTCTGAGGGTATAACAGAGCTCCACAGCAATAATACGGACAGTAATGTGCCTTTAAACTACAATAATGTGGTTAGAAATCAGTCTGTGTAAATACTAAACATTGTTCTTGTTCTATATTACATTTTAGTTCTATAAATTGTTATACATCACCTAAAATTTCTCAGAACAGCCCTGCCCCTGGTCACACCCCTAAAATGATAGTGTCGGTCTTTATTTTGATCGGCGTCTGTTCATAGGTTCACTGTATCTGTAGGTCTACAAGCATCTAGGACAATAAACATATTTTCGGGCATATTCTGTGGAGCATAATATCCTGTGATACGTCTGTGCTCGTGTCTCAAATGAGGTCATGTAAATCATTAATAATCTAAATGCTTTAAGCCTTACATAACACGTCTCCCATATGGCTGTGGCATACATACCCAGAACTTTCTGAACATATACTCTTGGGAACACGCCAGCGTTTCCTTGACATCCTGAACCTATCTAACCAAGCAGTTTGGCAATTATCCTCCTTATGAGCTGACTTTTCTGAGAGGGGAGGAGTGAGACAAAGTGTCTGCTGATAAAAATGAACTTAGTGACATTGTGCATGTCAGACGTTCTATTGCAACAGCTTCCCATAATGCAAAGCTTCCAATAGTACTAAAGACTACATTGCAGCCTCATACCACATACATATTGATTGTTTGATGGGATTTATGTTAGTTTTATACGTGTTTTAAATCTGTGCATTATAAATGCAAATATTAAAATTTAAATGTAAATTTAAAGTGTATTGTTTTAAAGCTACCAATTAAATAAACATTTGCTCTACGTTACTAAACAGGGTATTGTTCTGAACGAACAATACAAATATAAAAAATATTGTAATTTAGCTTTTTCCTGCTCTTTGAGATTGTCCTAAGGTTTTGAAATCCCTGGTCGATTCCTGAAAATCCATAGTTTATTAATAAATAACCTGTGTTTTTTTTGTTTGTTTTTTTTTTAAAGTAGCTTTTATTTCACAAGCTAACTGCAACTAAAAAATACATAGTTTGTAAAAGCAAACACTGAGGTAAAATTTGCAAGAATTATCTAAAAGGTACATTATATAAAAGGTACATTATGTCGAAGTGAAAGTTATATGTGGCATACGGGATTAAGAAAATAAAGATAGCACTACTAGGTCAAAGCTATAATGTGATGCAATCGCCGAACACGGAACACAAATGGAATGCCTGACTGATTAGTGCTTCGCTCTACAATTGTTCCAGAAGTTTTTTCTAAATATAACCCCATGTGCATGCATTCACCATGCGTACTGCATTGCAAAGGTTAACTAACTTACATACCTCACCCGTCCTTGATTGGCAAAGTTTGAATGCTAAAATAAAAAAATAATTAGCTATTTGGTTGCGCTAAAAGTGAGGGAATGACAGTATATCTTTAGTACCCATTCACTGCTAAGAATGGGCAGCTTTCCAATTATATAGAAATATTGAATTTCTCCACCTTAAAAGTGAACCTATCTGCCTTACCGATTCTGGACTATGTGTGGCATCGGCTGACAGAAACGGGCAGAGTCCCTGACAATTCCTTCCGGTAACACGGGAGCAGTTGAGACTGTTTATAGGATCCTGTATCACTGTTGATTTTGCATGCTGACTTTGAACGTTTATAATACCCCACTTGCTTATGGAGACGAACTGAGCTTCCTATAGCCTGCGCTAGAACATGATGCAAGCAGTTAGTCCAGTGAAGCAACTAAATAAGCCTGTATATATTGCTTGCCCAGCAAACTACAATATGCCGCTGGTCTAATGCTATGCTTGTAGATAACGAGATAATATTTTCAGCCAGTAAGGCAATGGTTAAACGTCACTATTCGCTACTATATATGTTGGAATCATAGCATGTTTATCGTAATAAGCTGGATGACCCTACCATGACCCACACACTAGACAAGCAAAACTAGCCTCACTGTGGTCAAATCTAGTTACAAACCTACCCTTAACACCCCTTAAGGACACATGAAGTGTGTGACATGTCATGATTCCCTTTTATTCCAGAAGTTTGGTCCTTAAGGGGTTAAACACGTTGTTTATTCACGCCTGACTAAAATATAAAAATGTGCTTGTAAATTGTTTACCCCGCATGCTTAGCGTGGACGATGCTTGAGGATTGCTTTCGGGGCACCTCATGCCTGTATGTACTTACTATACGCACTGCAAAAATAAAGTATAAAAAGTGAACCTATCGCCCACACCTCTGTGAATGACAAGCATTTTCATTATGACATTTAATCAATATATTGTGTTAGGAAAACTGCATGATGAGGAATGCCATATGATCTCTGAAACGTGTTCTTAACATTTTTTATACAGGATTTATTCATAAATTAAAAACTAAAATTATATCCCATGATTGTGTTTGCTAAGCATTCCACATTTTAAAGGATATCTGTCATAAAATTTTCAATTGTCGTTTTAAATGTATATTACATTTACCGAAACTGGATTTATTTTTATATATATATATATATATATATATATATATATATATATATATAAAAAAATTTTTATTTATGTTTTTCTTGGAGCACTTCACGTTATCTGGTTGAGCAGCCATATTGGGTCATATTTAAAGGGACACTCCAGGCACCCAGACCACTTCTGCCCATTGGAGTGGTCTGGGTGCCAACTCCCATCACCCTTAACCCTGCAAGTGTAATTATTGCAGCTTTTATAAACTGCAATATTTACCTTGCAGGGTTAAGTCCTCATCTAGTCGCTGTCTATCAGAAAGCCACTAGAGAGACTTCCAGCTTCTTAGAACAAGAAACGTGGTTCAAATGACGCTGGACTTCCTCACGCTATACATGAGGACCTCCAGCGTCGCCAGAATCCCCATAGGAAAGCATTGAATAAAATAATGTGTTACCCCAACAGTAATCCTCAGGCAAAATAACAGTTGGAGTGTTCCAGTTGGAGTATTAGATAGACGTGCACAATTTTATAGATAGGTGTGATCAAACATGTAGGTTTGTCTGGGTTCAATATGGCGTGCTCATTATGTGTGTCTAATACGAAACTACATAGGCTAACATATGCAGGAAATAATATGTGAGAAGACACAATTGGCTATGTTGAAGAGTAAGTTCACTGTGCTGCAAAGTTGTAGGGAGAAGGCCTTCTGCTCCCTACGTTTTGCAGTCATGGTAGTATGTGACAGCCTAGCTAACATAGTGTGAAGTAACATAAAATTACATGAAATAACGTCACGGAGGCGCAGCAAAGAAAATGCTGGTGGCGTGAGTCAGAGCGTCCCTGTTATCCGATGCCCTTTATGATTAAATGACTGGGGCCTGCTGGTGGGCCGCGGGAGGTCGCTGCTGCACAAGAACTAGCGAGGGTGTCCTTCAAGCCCCAGGCTGGTGAATAGGCCTGCATCTCCTGGCCACAACCTCGGTGACTTCTGAAGCCCGAGGTTCCTCCACGCTCAGATGAGTAGGAGTGGTTGGATGTACCAATGTTATGCCCAACGGTACCTTCTTCACTCCCTGATGCCTGCGGCCCCGCTCACGAGTCTGTTCCAGAAGTGAGTAAATATTTTGTCTAGACGCTGCATGGTGCTGCTGTGGGTCTTTTGATTAGGTATCAGTCTGCCCGCGTGGTGTGCTGGCCGCCGCCATCTTAACTGCGCCATGGGCAAGGATGCTCCTCTGTTGTGCAACATCAGGCTTTGAGCTCGATCTGTGCTGTCTGCTCCAGTCGCCCAGTGAGGACCGGGATGACAACCACCGTTCCATGGGGTGGGGGAGAGTTGAGAGCCCTGCTACACTCCAGAGTGCGTTTGTGCAAATTTTGTGGAAGCTAGGCTCCTTCCCCATTTTAAAAAAATACTTTGAAAAAATTATTTTAAAAGTGTATCCAGAAATTATAAATCCTTTGAAAAGCTTGTCCAAACATTAAATCAAGTGAGCATGCACATTTATCAATCAAATTCCTATTGTCACAGTTTTTCATTACTTGAATAAGATAATATGAAGGTATTTGCAGAAAATTTGCTCTTTTAGATTATCTTATTCTTAAACCGCAAGTGTCTGTGTCTGCAAATTGTCTTCAAGTGTATGTGTCCTCAAATCCCATAATCACTATGTGGCTATATTTAGTGATGTCTAGGGGGCTTTTGACATTTCCAGTTAAGTGTCTGACAATGTGTGTGTGTGTAAAGTCACTGCTTCCGCTTTTCGAAGAAACTCCATTGTAGAACCAGATAAAAAGTTGCAATGTACATTTCATACCACATGCAATATCAAGAGACAAACCACTAGCTTCCTGTGGGTTTACCTATAAATGATATGTGTATCTAGTACCAGAGTAAAAAAGGCTATTAAAAAGGTGAAAAGGTTATGAAACACTATTACGTCCAAAAGCTCAGCAATCTCATTATGTGTTGCGTGTTCTAAATTATGTCAATGCAATGTACTGCCGGATTCTTTTGCAAGTGATAAACCTAAATGAAAACTCCAAGCACCATAACCACTTCAGTGTATGTCCCATGCCCTACCCCCAAAAGTAAAAGTAGTATAAGTAGAAATATTTTACCTCATGCCAATCCCTACCTCTCGTTCGGAAGCTCTCTTAAGACCTGTGATGGCCAGTTGGAGAAGATGAGTGACCCTAGTTGATAAATCAAATAATACCAAACAGTTTGACTACTTACATGGGGAGGGGGAGGGGGAGGGGGATGGGTGTGGGAGGGACACCAGGACACTCCTGGCACCACACCATGACCACTACATTTATCTGCAGTTGTTATGGTGCTTGGAGTGTTCCTTTAACAGAATAGCAGCTCTCCTATTTATGTCTCTGGAATAATTGCTGTTCATTCAAAAGAGATCTGTTCAACAGAATCTAGCCTCCAGATTCAGGGTGTCAGCTTGTCCAATGGCAAATGGGCCACTGATGAATTTGGTCCCCTTAAACAACAATGTTAAAAAAAATGGCCTTCTTTAACGCAGAAGCAGGGCAAAAGGTGCAGCTGGGGGCCCAAAGTAGCTGCCCCTTAAGCCCACAACAATCACAAAACCTCTGCGCCCCCCGCCCTCCATGAACCCTTGCCCCCTCTAAAAAAACCCTGCCCTCCTCTCAACAAACCCCTGTCCCCTCTCTGAAAGCCCCTGCTACCCCACCACTCACCCCTGTCCCCCTCTCTACAAACCCGATACATACATATACACACACATAGATACATAAACTGATATATACACACACAGATACACACACTGACACATATATATATACAAACACAGATACACACACTGACACATATATATACAAACACAGATACACACACTGATACATACACACAGATACAGATACACGCACTGACACACAGATACATAACCTGATACTTACACACAGATACACACACTGACACATATATATACACACACACAGACACACAGATACATACACTGATACTTACACATAACAAAACCCAAAAGTTAGTGAGCAAACCAATATATAAAAAAAACTTTGAAATACTTATTTATAGCAATTTTCCTGAATGTCCTTGAACCTTGCAGTGAACAGTGTTCTTTAAATGGTGTATCTCATATCCTGGGCCCTGCTCCTCACTCCCAATCCACCCGGTCTGCGGACGTGCACACGTACTGCCAGCACAATAGACCAGCAGAAGGGGGGTTAGTACCCCAGCCTATGCCCTGGGTCCACCGCTGCTCAGCCCTGTCCTGGCAGGAATCCAGGATCGATGGCTGGGGTCTGCTAAATAATAACTTCAATAGTAACCCCCTGGTCACGCCTGGCAGGGAGCAGCAATTCTGAGCCGCATTTTGGCAATACCTCGCTGACCTCCTACCGCACGGATCTGAATTTAGGCTGGGAGGAAGTGACTTATTCCCACTTCCTGCCAGCATCTGATTCTACAGCGGCCTGGTCATGCTCTTTAAGGTCCACAACACATGACCGGGCCCCTGTTTAGCAATTTCCATTGGGTGGCCCTAAAATCTATGGGCCAACAGGTGAAATCCCAAAGCGGACCCTGGTGTACCGCATCGGCTGCACCGATGGTAGTTCCACTGTTGCCTCATATAACAGAGCATGGATATCATTACAGTACCTTTGGGTACCAGACAGAGACATGTTAGCAATACTTGTTCCACACCAAAATATTGGTTACAATTGCGATTGTACCTAAAATGCTGCACAAAAGTTGTGAGATATCAGTATCCTTGGAAGATTGCACAAAATAAAGAATTTAAAAAAAATAATAATTAAAATGTATTTTTTTCTACACATGAATATTACATAGTTACATAGCTGAAAAGAGACTTGTGTCCATCAAGTTCAGCCTTCTTCACGTATGGTTTTTGCTGTTGATCTAAAAGAAGGCAAAAAACCCAGTCTGAGTTCCTTATGGGAAAATAGTTTTTTAGCTACCAAAGATTTGCTTATCTCTGATAATGTAATATAGCCCTTAAAGGAACATTCTACAGTGCTCTATAGAATGGTTTGACTTCATAACTGGGATCCCCCAGACTCCACTCCCCACCTCCACTACTCCCTGCTTTGGAGCTTTCGTTAGCTCTCCTAAGCTAAACTCTGCAGTGCTGGATTAGCTACCGCAGACAAAGAGCTTCCAACTCACTGTCAGAAGTAATGGAGGCAGGGAGCAGCATGCAGTGCACCCCAGGTAAGAAGTCAAACAGTTCTTACAATTTGGGTGTAAATGCACTACTGGCTCAAACATGACTACAATGTACTGTAGTGGGTATGGTACTTAGAGTGTTACTTTAATGAACAAAAATGCAGGGGGATCAGAGAGCCGTTTAAAATGGAGAACCTAAGGAAAGATGCATCTTGCAGAGCAACAATGATTTTAAAGTAACCCTTCAGGAAATACTTGCATTAGAATTTCCCAGGTGACATTTACTCTTAAAATGAAATAATTTATTTAATACATTTCTATCTGACTGCTATTACCATCTCTGCGCAAGTGGAGTTTTCGGAATATGCAAATAGTTTGTTTTTTATCACGTTTGGACTGAGCTCTTTGTTATTTACATATTTGAGTCTATTTTTAAAATGCATACTAAATTAATTAAATTCAGTTTTGTTAAAAACATTAACAATTCCTCAAAGATTCTGAGAGTACAGCTCTGACATCGGCTCCTAGTAGATGAAGCACCAGTGTTGGACCAGGAGCTGAAAAGTACCTCAATAAAAACTACCTTCCCCTACACCCTGCAACTACTGCAATGGAGGGAGAGCAGTCACAACCTGGGGTCTCTGTAAAATAGACCAAAGACCCCATAAGATGACAGAATTGCTTTAAAAATAAGTGAATCAGGAAGCAGGGGATCTAAATCATTTTTATATCACTCCAGCGTTATAAATAAAGGTATTTATTTATAGTACTGATGTGTTCCTTTAATGGCCCAGTCAGGGCCAGATTAAGAGCCCAGTGGGCCTGGTGCTGACAATTGTGATGGGCCTAATTACGGAATCATATCGACCAAAAACAGTAAAACACTCCCAAGCGTCATGTATCTGATGGAGATGGTGCTGGAGAGATAGAAAACAGCAGCTATAAGAAAACACATACCCTAGGCTAATCTCTCTCTAATTTATGTTTTCATCTTTCAAGTAAATCCATAATCCCTAACAGCAGTGTCCAGTCAAGCAGGAAGTCAATGGGCATGGTAAAAGGGTGTGCCACTGACACAAAACACGTAACCTGCCAAAAGGGGCGAACATGCCCAAAAAGAGGACATGTCTGCTCAAAGAATTAGAAGGCCAGCCTGGCATGAATGCATGTCAGGCTGCCTGCCAATCATGCAGCTGGCCAACTAAGGGCATACTATGCAGACAGCACCCTGAGCTTGGCATAAATGCATCTAATGATGCGCTCACTCAATGCTTTCTAAGGACTGTCCCCTAATACTCGCTGGTCCACTTGTCTCCTTACGTTCTAACTAGCAGGCAGAAGCTCCTGGTAAATGGCCTGGGACAGAGAAAAGCTGTATGTAGTGAGTGTAGAAGAAAGGGAACATGCCACAGTGTTAGAGAGACCAAAGTCAGCATTACCTTAAAGGATCACTATAGGGTCAGGAACACAAACATGAATTCATGACCCTATAGTGTTAACACCACCATCTAGCCCCCCCCCCTGGGCCCCTCATGCCTCCATAAATATAGCAAAATCCTACTATATTCAAGCCTGAAGCTGTAACTCTGCATGCTGTTAGACTCATAAAAACAAGCAGTCTGCTGACATCATTAGAAGTGGTGGCCTGATCCAATCACAGTGCTTCCCCATAAGATTGGCTGAGACTATCAAAGAGGCAGATCAGGGTCAGAGCCAGCATGATTTAAACACAGCCCTGGACAATCAACATCTCCCTATATAGATGAATTTAATTAATGAATCTCTATGAGGAAAGTTCAGTGTCTACATGCAGAGGGAGGAGACACTGAATGTTTGGATGCATTTTAGGCAGCCATGACCCAGGAAGGATCTCTAACAGTCATCTAAGGAGTGGCCAGTGAAGTTATCCCTAGGATGTAATGTAAACACAGCATTTTCTCTGAAAAGACCGTGCTTACAGCAAAAAGCCTGATGGTAATGATTCTACTCACCAGAACAAATTCAATAAGCTGTAGTTGTTCTGGTGACTATAGTGTCCCTTTAACTATATTCATTGTCAACCAGTCCACACAAGTTTTGTTTCCATACTTAAGTAAGAGTATGTGAAAAGTAGTTAGGGTTGCCACCTTTCTTGGAAAAACATACGGGCCTTACTAATTTGCATAATTAAATATGTGTGGGTGACATCACATGATGTAAATCACAAGGAGTGACATAAGAGAAAATGCTGTAAAATCACCAAAAAACTACATAGTTTAAATCTGCTGTATAGATGGATTCCTCCTAGTGCCCCCATGTCTCCCAGTGCCCTCATGACTTAGTGCCCCCATGTGTCGATTACTCCAGGTCTCAGTGTACCTATGTATCAGTGTCTCAGTGCCCCATGTCTCCCAGTGTCCCCTAGTCTCCCAGTGATCCTATGTATCAGTATCTCAATGCCCCATGTCTCCCTGTGTCCCCATTTATCCCAGGGTCCCCATGTCACTAGGACACTAGGAAGACTGGGAGACCTGGGGACACGGGGAGACCTAGGGACACGGAGACACCAGTGACACTGGGAGACTAGGGGACTCTGGCTGGGACACATTGGGACAATGGGAAAATAGGGGACACTTGAAGAGATGGGGACACAGACACCAGGGACAAAGATACTAGAGACACTGGCTGGGGGACATGGGGACATTGAGACATGGGGGCACTGGGAGACATGGGGACACTGAGACACCAGGGCCACAGACACTAGGGACACTAGCTCGGGGACATTGTGACACTTGAGGCACTGAGAGACATGGAGGCACTAGGAGACATGGGGACAGTGAGACACTGGCAGAGTGGGGGCACTGGGAGACTAGGGGGCACTGAGACACCAGGGACACTGGCTGGGAAACATGGGGACACAGTGTCCCCATGTGTCTGTGCAATAATGTCTCCCAATGTCCCTTAGTGTCTCAGTGTCTGCCATAATGTCTCCAAATGTCCCTTAGTGTCTCAGTGTCTGCCATAATGTCTCCCAGTGCCCTTTAGTGTCTCAGTGTATGTCTCCTTGCAGCCTTTCCCCCATCCCTTACTTCCCTGAGCTGTAGGCTGTCTCTGCAGGGTGGGAGTTGCTGTCTGGACTCTTTGTAGCTGCACCCCGGCAGATCAGTGAGATAGTCAGGGAGGGATATGCTGGAACTTCCTATCCCTGCCTGTCTCCACACACAGCGACCCCTACTGGCCAGTGCTGGTATTGCAGAGTAATCTCCATTTAAACTGAGAAAAATACCAGCATTTATATTGCCAGTATCACTGCAATATTGGCACCAGCCAGGCAGCCTCAAATACTGTCTGTGCCAATAAAATAAAAGCCAGGTGGAATCCCTAAGAGTAGTGTGTGGAAAAAAAAAATTAAATTTTTTTTAAAAATTTTTTTAAATCATTGGGCCTATTCCATGGGCCTGGGCCTGGAGCTGCAGCTCCATCAGCCCCTATGTTAATCCGGCCCTGGGCCCAGTTTCTAAAAGTAGATCAAAGTCTGCGAATTTTGCTTTTGCTATCTTAGGACTTGGGTTCTGTATTGTTGTTTGATTAATAGTAGATATTAGATCACATCAATTTGATCTACTTGACCTAGGAATCTTAAATCTGTTAAGCAAACTAACACATGCACGAGTACCCTTGGAATTAAGCTAAAACAAAAAGTGCCAGGAGATCATTAGTCCAAGACCACTGTTTGTTTTTACAGATCAGGTCCATATGAATAAATATTTTTCTCCAGTGCATGATAGAAAAACAGCTGGGCCTCCTTTGTACTTTACAGTGAGACAGACAGCGGTCATGAACTGTTCCGAATAGTAGAGGTCAACAACATCATTGACAAGTAAGAGGTTTAAAGGATCAAAGGTTCCCCATGCAGTTTGGAAATGACAGCCACCTTACAAAAATAGTTCTGCTGAATACTCTGTCTATTTCTGTAAAGTGCGTATTATTGTATAGCAACTCGAGCTTCACTAGAACGTAGCTCAGTGGTATATCACAGGTTTCCATTCCAATAGCAGAACATAATGTCCAACTACCGTAACACTTGGAATTTTGAACTTCCTTTGCTGAGTGATGAGGCCTCATTTTGAGTACAGCGTACACACAGTGGCGGATCCAGAGCCTGATCTTGGGAGGGGCAATTGTAGATTATTTAAAGAAATAATCCAGGCACAATAACCACTACAGCTCAGTGTAGTAGTTATGGTGCCAGTGGTGCCAGGATCCCATCCTAGAGTAAGTAGTGAAACCGTTTAAGAACAGTTTGACAACTTACCTGGGGTCTGCTGGGATATAGGGCATAGGTGCAGTGGTATGTGCTAGGGGTGCAGTGTGTGTGTGTGTGTGTGTGTGAAAGGTGCAGTGTGTGTGTGTGTGAGCGGGGAAGTGTGTGTGCGAGTGCGTGAGGGCGGCAGTGTAGGTCAGGGTTGCAGTGTGTGTGTGTGGGGCAGTGTGTGTGTGAGAGAACTGCAGTGTGTGTGTATGTGAGGGTGGCAGTGTGTGAGTTGCAGTGTGTGTATGGGGGCAGTGTTTGCGGGGCAGTGTTTGTGGGACAGTGTGTGTATGGGGGCAGTGTTTGTGGGGCAGTGTGTGTGTATGGGTGTGCAGTGTGTGTGTGTGGGGCAGTGTGTGTAGTGTGTGTATGGGGGGAAGTGTTTGTGGGGCAGTGTTTGTAGTGTGTGTATGGGGGCAGTGTTGTGGTGGGGTGTGTATGGGGGTGTTTGTATGGGGGCAGTGTGTATGGGGGGCAGTGTGTGTATGGGGGGCAGTGTGTGTAGTGTTTGTATGGGGGGCAGTGTGTGTAGTGTGTGTATGGGGGGGTAGTGGGGGATTCCCTGGTGGCCCAGTGGTTACAGTGAGCTCTAGCCCGCGTTCCAGGGCTAGAGTTCACTCTCGCGAGATTTGGAGCGTTGCTGTGGTAACCGTGGCAACGCTCTGTGCTCGCGAGAGGTGGACCCGGAGGAGCTCCCGGGTCCTCTCTCACTCCCTCCCCTGCCGGCTGTCAGCACGGTGCCTGCAGACCGGGGAGGGAGATCTCTGCTCTCCCTCCCCGGTCCGCAGGCACATTGCAGGGCTGGCACTTTGACAATGCCAGCCCTGCATTAGCCGGCAGGGGAAAATCTCGGGGGGGGGGGCAATTGCCCCATTGCCCCCCCTGGATCCGCCACTGCGTACACAGCACTGTAATAAACCTTGGTAATATGCAATGCTGTACATATCTAGGAAGAAATGAATTTACTAATAGGTCCTCCTCTGTTGACAGCAAATTGTGTAAACAAAACGCATGTAAGGATGCAGCTTCAGTTTTTTTGTTTTCTACTTAAAAGGACACTATAGGCATCCAGACCTCTTCATCTCATTGAATTGATGGAATTGGTATGAGTGAAGTGCCCAGTCCCCTTAACCCTGCAATGTTAAAAATAGCAGTTTCAGAGAAATTGCTAATTTTTCCATTGCAGGGTAAAGACAATGTGTAGTGGCTATCTTCCAGACAGCCACTAGAGGTGCTTCCTGGACTTAAATGGAGTTTAACTCCATAAAACGATGTCGGATGTCCTCACACTTTGCATAAGGATGCCTAACGTCTTCAAATTCCCCATAGGAAATCATTGATTCAATGGTTTGCTGTGGAAAAGCTCTAATGTGTGCAACATTCACTGTGCATGCCCATTAGGTCCCCCATTGGCATGATGATGTGTGTTACTCCTTTTCAAAATCCCAAACTGTGTTCAGCTACATCTTCCCAATATTTCTATCCCACCTCCCCACACTCACTACAGCCCCTATACACACACTCACAATCCCCTCTATATACACTTTACTGCCCCTATCCACGCATAAACCAATACAACAGTCCAAATGCACACTACACCCACAGACACAAAGTTGCACTCTATAGACCCGAAACACACAATCCCTTCAACCCCTAAACACGCACAAACACACCAGCTACAGTCCCTAGTCACACATAATACGCCACATACAGACCCCTTTACACACACACACTACATAACAACCAGACTTCTTTACGCACACAACCACAATCCTCTCTACAAACAAGCAATCACACAATAAGACTTCCCACACATGCACAATGCCCTCTCCCATATTTATCCTCTGGTATTCCACTTATAGGGACACCAGAGACACGCCACTAGTAAACACAGTGCAAGCATTACATTGTACTGTGCAAAACAAACACATGAAATGTTTCTAGTGTCAGAGCAGTACTCTGCGCATGGGATGTCCTGGGGGTCATCAAACGAATATGCTGACTTTGAGGAGAGGAGGACATGCTTGTTATTGATGACGGCACAGCATGCCTCCATTTCCCCTTCTGTTGGGCTGCTCTGCCTTTAAATATCTCTAGTAACAACCTTTATGATGATTGGAACTACAGGGGTTTACAGGACAGGGGTTTATGAAATAAGGAACCACTCCAATAGACCAGAATGAGAGGCTCCGAATTATCAAAATTTGATCCTGGTCTGGGAGAGATCGACCAGCAACTCCCATTTTCATGATATTAGAAGAAGCAGCAGGATGAGTGTTATTTTGTTTACATTTCTTACATTTTAAATATAACGTAGAAGGACCCAGGATGAATTACAGCTTATAGTAATATCTTTCACAATCAATACAAAACACCTAAAAAGGGTAACACTACCTGCCATTGTACACACAAGTCTATTTAGTTGAAAAGTATTTAAATCCCAAAACAGGTGAGATAGGTCCCTGCCACACTTGTCACTTAGTTCTTTGGCATATATACATAGTATACATAGATGAACCTCCGATTGACAGAGGAGAGCAGGAGAACCCTCCTACAAGTGGTTCTCCTACTCCTTGTTACAGCAATTGAAGTGTATGAAGCGTGGTTACTACCTATGAAGCACTGCTTGCTCTGGCTAGAGGGGTATAGGAGTATAACCGATGTTGATCACATGGAAGCCAGCTTGTCTGGGTCATGGGGGATAATTTTAGGGCTTCAATAATGTAACACTGTCAGAGATATTTACATGGCAGCACTGGGCAATTGGTAAGAAATGTTCATATCTGACAACCTGCAACTGAATATCTTAGTATCTATAGGATAAATAATATATAT